TCGTGGCCCGTCATAGTTTGGACCTCACATGATCCTATAGGTTCATTTAATGTTTTTTAAGGCTTTGTTTCTCAAATACATGATTTGAAACTGGAGCTACATAATGCCTAAACGCATTCTGCAACGGGGAAATAAGAACAAAAGCTACAAGAATAATAATGAATACTGTATCTTCTGTGCTATTGCATTTGTACTGTTGATACCAGAGCATTCATTTATAAAGGAAAGAAATCCAAAAGATTGTCCTCTTGAAAGTTTCTACAAGTCTAGAAACTCGAATTTAACTCCTCTCACAAAACATCGAGACGATGCACGTGTACCCAGGGGGTTTCACAGGAACCTTCCCCATTTTTTCTACAACCCCCAGTGGTTCCGATATGCAGACGACAGCTTCATTATGTGGAAAACACAGACACAGGGTGAAGTGGAGACTTTAAGTCAACGCTGTGACCTGCTGGAACGGCAGCAGCTCTTTTAAGAACCACTCGCCTTCTCCCAAAACGAGGTGGGAGCTCAAAACTCCCCGTACCTCATGGAGAAGAGGGCGCGGATCCAGCCAGTAGTGCCAGAAAAGCGAAATTAAAAGCGATAGTGCTCTTTCCAGTGTAACGCAGCGACCGTCACCGTGGTGGCACGTCACATCAGATCAGGCAGCTCACCGAGAACACTGGTAACCCTGCGCTGCCTGAAATCCTTCCCTAGTGCTCTGCAGAGTTAATTCTGCCAAGGAAAGCCAGCGGGACTCTCTCACGTGATAGCGTTAAAATGCAGCGAAAAAGGGAAATCAACAAGGGGCCCGAGGCAGGGAACAAGCCTCCTGTTGCGAAAGAATTAGTTCAGGGTCACTGCCGGTGCCGCATGATTTCTTGGGGGTTTTCTTTGTGTGTGCGCGCTTTTCTTCCCCCTACCCGCTCCTTCTATCCGAGTTTCAAAACTCCACGTTGCCCGGAGTTGCAAAAGCGAACGGCTACTCTTCAATATTCTCCAACAGAACCGAAATAACCTAGATTGATGGGAAGACTTCGGTTTATATGGCTCTCTAATAAATACTGCATAGAGCACTTACAGCAAAGCCAGAGTTAGCTTACTAGGAGGCGCGATGTTTACTCCAATATCATACAAAAACGTAGTTGCCACTGCTGACACGGTAAAAAGGTCCAGACTTTCTCAAAGCATAAAAGTATTTTATTAAAAATAAAATAGGAAATAATTCTAAAAAAACCGAACAAGCAACTGAATTGAACCCCTCGGTGGATCAGCCCAAATTTTTTAAAGAGTACCATTTAATATTAATAAAACAACGTCCCTATCATTTATTATTAATAAAACAACGTCCCTATAAAAAACTTACGCAGGAACCGAGAACAGCACAGTTAAAACAAACTAAGGAAAAACAGCTTACATGTTTCTGCCTGCGTTCACTAGAAGAACCGAAACCGCAGAGAGCGACTCAGCCCTTTATGACTATTATGGACGGCTCTAAAAAGAGCCTTTTTGTTTCCTGATTACTCTTACATGTGTTCACTTGGCTTTAGCCTTGTGGCTGTCGGTCTTCTTGGGCAGCAGCACGGCCTGGATGTTGGGCAGCACGCCGCCCTGCGCGATGGTCACCTTGCCCAGCAGCTTGTGAAGAGCTATAAATACGTGGCACGCTGCTACTCCCCCTCACTTCGTCTCGCCGCTGCTGGCTGTGTTGCCTGCCAGGGTCTGTGAGAGACGCGCGTTTGCCGCGATGCCCGAGCCGGCCAAGTCCGCCCCCGCGCCCAAGAAGGGCTCCAAGAAAGCCGTGACCAAGACGCAGAAGAAGGGCGACAAGAAGCGCAAGAAGAGCCGCAAGGAGAGCTACTCGATCTACGTGTACAAGGTGCTGAAGCAGGTGCACCCCGACACGGGCATCTCGTCCAAGGCCATGGGCATCATGAACTCCTTCGTCAACGACATCTTCGAGCGCATCGCCGGCGAGGCCTCGCGCCTGGCGCACTACAACAAGCGCTCCACCAGCGGGAGGCGGGAGATCCAGACGGCCGTGCGGCTCCTGCTGCCCGGCCCCAGCACGCCGTCTCCGAGGGCACCAAGGCCGTCACCAAGTACACCAGCTCCAAGTAGGGCGTCTCGGATCGTCAGTTTTGACTCAAAGGCTCTTTTGAGAGCCACCCACCTCTCCAGTAAAAGAGCTCTAACTTCTGTATTTTACTTCAGTTTTCCTGATGGTATGTTCTCTGATTATCTTAGTGATGAATGTTCGAGCCCAGTGATCTAAAAGTCCCAGCATGGCTTAGTATTAGGAACGCAGTCCCTATCTCTAGTCCCTACTTCTTGGGGTCTGTATGGCTTTCTTTGCCCTGCTGAACCCAGCCGTTACCGTTGAGTCTTCTTCACGCTGCCTGTTGTGTGTGTGCTCTTGTGGACTGCTTCGATTGCCAGCTGTTTGTAGGGCACCTTCCCTGCGCTGTCTGCTTCCTGTGTGCCATTGCTCAGTTAAAGTTCCTGGTGTCTGAAATGAGAGAAATGACAAGTGGTTACAGTGCTTGCCCTCCCCGACTCAGGCCGGTTTCACCCCTGGTCCATCCCTTCTCCCTGTTCTCATGCCATGACCTTCTATGTTATCGGTCATAGACATAGGCCAATATAGTTTAAAAGTGCCTTCGAGGGTTTAAGTAATTCGTAAGGGAACACTTTGGGTTTTTAAGTGCTTCGTTTCATTGGTCTTCCCTATCTGGAAAAAAATCTGTTTAAAACGTATGCCTTAAAAGATTAATTAGGCTATTTCCTAGTATTTTTTTATTCTAAGGTTCCTAATAGAAGGTTGTTAACGGTTGCAGAATGGACTAACACTCAGATCGAGAAGGTCTCGCCGCGCGCCAGCGACTGCGCTTTCGTACCCCCTGCTGCCCCCTGATGGGCGTTTCCGAAGTTTCTGTCATTTTGCGTTTTACAGCATCGGGTTAAGACCTCAGCCTGAGAGACATAGGAAAAACTGCCGTAACAGATGAAAAGTTGGTCCAGAAGGACACTATGCAAGCGGGACTCAGAACACAGAGGAGTTAAATAAGTGTCGGAAAACACCAGTGACAAAGCTCTTCAAATGAAAGAATTGGTGGCTCTTAAAAGAGCCTTTGGGTTAAAACTGACGATCCGAGACGCCCTACTTGGAGCTGGTGTACTTGGTGACGGCCTTGGTGCCCTCGGAGACGGCGTGCTTGGCCAGCTCGCCGGGCAGCAGGAGCCGCACGGCCGTCTGGATCTCCCGCGAGGTGATGGTGGAGCGCTTGTTGTAGTGCGCCAGGCGCGAGGCCTCGCCGGCGATGCGCTCGAAGATGTCGTTGACGAAGGAGTTCATGATGCCCATGGCCTTGGACGAGATGCCCGTGTCGGGGTGCACCTGCTTCAGCACCTTGTACACGTAGATCGAGTAGCTCTCCTTGCGGCTCTTCTTGCGCTTCTTGTCGCCCTTCTTCTGCGTCTTGGTCACGGCTTTCTTGGAGCCCTTCTTCGGAGCAGGAGCGGATTTAGCTGGTTCCGGCATTTTACAAGTCTGTCACTACCTGTCTACCGCAGGAACGACGTAAATACAATGGCAGCGACCCCCGTATTTATAGGGACGGTATGCAAATGAGATGACTCAAGGCTGTTCTTGGCTATTGGACAATCCGGGTTCGTGATGTCAAACCATCCAGCACCTCCGATTGGTCGCTATTTCATCTGTCTTCCCATTGGTTAACTTCACAATCGCAGCCTCCGCCAATCAGAAGTCCCACCGAACCCCAGAAAGAAGGGATAAAAAGGCGGGGTGGCAGCTCTCGCTGCATTTTTTTCTGTTTTCGCAGCTTTTTTTAGTCTTTTCTGTAGGCTTTTTTTTTTTTT